CTTTTAAAGAGAGAAAATTCCAACTCTCTAATGAGGCGGCACCACCTTGAAGTTCACACAGGTGAAGTTCTTTCAGTATCTTTATTACTTTTAGAGATACTTGTACCCCGTACTAAACTTCATTAAGAGTTTTAATTATATCTTTGTTACTTTTAGAGATACTTGTACTCCTTACTGAACTTCATTAAGAGTTTTAATTATATCTCATCCCTCCAACAGTAACAACCAACACTTTTTTATCAAAGATAGGGTTTAATAAATTTAATAGTGTTGAAATCCATCCACTTATTGAATGACTTGTTATTACCCCTTAAACCTAAATATACTTGCTCAGTATACTTTTGGTAGGGTTGCTATCATTAGTGGAAGTTTCAACAATAGCTTACTTGAAGTCAATCTTATTAACTCTCTCGTGAGGTTTAAATTAAGGATCAGCTAAATTCTCACTAGACTTAACATTTGTAAGAGAAATTATTCCATACTTTATTAATTTCCTTACATGCTCGTGTCTTAGACTCATGTGTTTAGACTTTCCATTATATACTTCGTTATATGCTCGAGCAAGAGTAGTTTGACTATCACACAAGATAGGTATTGAAGAAATATCTTTTATATCTAAAGGGATTTTATGAAACAGATCTCTTAACCACTCAGCATCTTTTCCAGTTTCGGCCAATGCTACAAACTTCGACTCCATTGTTGAGTGAGTAATGCAAGTTTGTTTCTTAGATTTAACAAATGTAAGAGAAATTATTCTATACTTGATTAATTTCCTTACTCAAGTCTTAGACTCATGTGTTTAGATTTTCCATTATATACTTCACTATAAGCTCGAGCAAAAGAGTAGCTTGACTTTCACACAAGATAGGTATTGATGAAATATCATTTATATCAAAATTGTATTTCATATACTAAATCTTTTACCTACTCAGCCTCTTTTCCGATTTTAGCCAATGCTACAAACTCTAATTCCATTGTTGAGTGAGTAATGCAAGTTTGTTTCTTAGACTTCCAAGAAACCGCACCTCCTCCAAGAGTAAATACCCAACTTGAAGTAGACTTATTTTCTCCTGCACTCGATACCCAACTAGCGTCAGTATATCCTTTCAAGATTTTAGGGAACTTTGTATATTGTAGTCCAAGGTTTTTGATTTTCTTTAAGTAACCAAGAACCCTACCGATGTCCATCCAATGTTCGAAACTTGGATTGCTAGTAAACCCACTTAGTTTACTCACAGCAAATGCTACACCAGGTTTTGTACATTGTGCCCGTATATTAGATTTTCAATTGCACTTACATATTCTATTTAAGCTATTTCCCTCCCATCATTTTTGATCAATTTGATATTTGGATCCAAAGGAGTATTAGCCTGATTGACGTTCAAGTGTTTGAACTTATTTATCCCATTTTCAATATAATGTGATTGGCTCAATGTACCTCTTTAACTTTGATACCAAGAATAATATCCATTTGTCCAAGATCTTTCATTTTGAACATGGAGGATAAAAACCTCTTCATTTCTTTGATTTTGTCTATATTGTTGTTGATCTTCAACATATCATCAACATATGGACATATTAAAGTAATTACACTATCATTCACTTTAGTGTAAAGACATTTGTCTGCCTAATTATGATTAAATCCACTTGATAGTATTTTAGAGTCAAATTTCTCATGCCACTTTTTAGGGCCTTGTTTTAATCTATATAAGGATTTGATTAGTTTGCACACCTTATGTTCATTTTTTCGATAGAACAAACCCTTCTGGTTGCTCTATATAAACCTCTCATTTGAGATCTCCATTTAAGAATGTCGTCTTTACATCCATTTCATAAACATGTAAATCATAAATTGATGCCAGTACAAACTTGATCCTTATCAAGGTTATCCTAGCCACGTGTGCATATGTGTCGAAGTAATATATTCCTTCCTTTTGACGATACCACTTATCTACTAATCTAGCTTTGTAGGTATTAAGAGTTCCATCAGAATTGTATTTTTTTCTAAACACCCATTTGAAACCAATGGCTTTAGAACCTTTTGGTAAATCAACTATTTCCCAACTATTATTTGACATAATAGAATCAATTTCATTATTTATCGTCTCTTTCCAGAATATACAATCTTCAGAAGACATTGCTTCCTTGTAGGTTTTAGGATCACTTTCTACTTGAAGAACAAAAGGAGTTGTTCTTACAACGTCCTTCCTATCTCCATCTACTAAGTACAAAGAAATAAGTTGGGAATCTATTTCATTCGATCCTAGATCTTTTTCTTTCATGATTCTCTTACTTCTTCCAGGTTCATATTCAACATCTCTTGTAGATATCTCTTCTTGTGGTTCTCTAGAATTCGTAATATCTTCATTATATTGAAATTTTCTTGCTACTAATACATTTTCAAAAAATTCAACGTCCCTTAATTCTATTATAACATCTGACTTAAGGTTTAATAACCTATATGCTTTTCTATTTAGAGCATATCCAATAAAGGTACATTTGATACCTATAGGACCTAATTTGGTTCTCTTAGGATCTGTGTTCTAACAACAAGTAAGACACCTCCACGCTTTGAAATAATTAATATCTGGTTTCCTACCTTTCCATATTTTATGTGGGGATATCTTATACTTTTTCATAGGAATTCTATTTACTATATGACAAGCACTTGGTAAGGCTTCACCCCTCTTATTAAAAGGTAATTCAAAATTCAACAACATGGCATTTATCATTTCTAAGAATGGCCTACTTGTTCTTTCCGCTAAACCATTTTGTTCTGATGTTCGTGGTGTAGAACATTGATATATTGTTCCATTTTGTCCACAAAACATATTTAATTCATTAGAGAAATATTCTCCATCTCTATCGCTTCTTAAAGTTTTTAGTTTCCTTCCTAATTGATTTTCAATTTATTTAACATATGTTTCACATTTTTTCTAAATTATCAATTTCACATTGTTTTAATCTACATTTAATCATTATTTTCATAATTCTAACTCCTATGTGTGCTAATCTACAATTCCATAAATTAAATGAATCAGTAACATATGCAAATGATTTGTTTTTAATAGAATTATCCTCAAGAGTGCAAAGCTTGACCATTCATTCAGTGGAATGGCCCTTTCCAACAAAGTGCTCATTATGGGTTAGTACAAATTTTCCAAATTCAAAAACAGATTTAATTCCTATTTTTTCCAATAGAACTCCACTTGCTAGGTTTCTATTCATTTCTGGTACATGAAAATTTGTCAAAGTGATCTTCTTTCCCGAAGTAAAGATGATTTTTACATTGCCTTTTCCAAACATTTTTGATCTTCTTTCATTTTCCAATTGGATTTCTTTATCATCTTCAATATCATGATATGTTTTGAAAAGAGACTTATCATAATAAACATGGATGGTAGCACATGTATCATACCACCAACCGTGAACTTTGCCTTGAATTGCATTAATTTTGCTTACCATAGTGATAATCTCATCAATGAAATTCACTTGTCTTTTCTTCTTTGGTTGTTCTTATGCCTACAATCTCTTGCATGATGTCCCTATTTTCTACAAACATAGCAAGGTCCCTTAAATTTATTTTTAAACTTCCCTCTATCCTTTTTGGGATCAAGAGATTTTCCTTTCTTTTTATACTTGTTGGAGTTGTCCACGGCATTGATTTTCGAAGAGCCATCATAAGAACTTTCAATCTTATCTCTTGCCCTTGACTCTTCCTTTATGCGAAGATGTTTTTGAATATCTTCTAAGGAAATCATCTTATATCATTTTCAAGACCCCGGGAGTTTAGCAATGATTGCTTCCACTTGAAAGATTTCGGGAAGTTCGATCTTCACCGCTTTCAATTTCTTGACAATTATCTGCAACTTATGCACTTGAGGTAATAAGGAAATATTATCTAGAAACTTGAAATCAAAATATTTAGAAATTAAAAACTTCTTCGTACCTTCCTCCTTGGCCTTATATTTACTTTAAGTCCATACCTGATCTCTTTTCCTGAAGTGGTGTTGGTGTAGATATTGTATAATCAGTCTGATAGCGCATTTAGAATGTTTCCACGACATATTAATTCGTCATCTTCCCGTTTCTTTCTTTCTACATGAACCTCATTAGTGTCTTTGTCTGTTGCATCGGGAATTGGCTCCAATTTTGGATCAAACATGTAGAAGATCTTTAAAGCCGGAAGGAAAAAAATTGAGTTGTCCGTGCCATCTTGTGAAGTTGGCACCATCAAATCTGTCCAAACGCACTAAGCCTTAATTCATCATTTTGCGAGTGTAGATTCTGTCTCCATCGTAGTAGAATGGCGATTATTGTTTGGGATTGTTATTGAAAAATACAGCAATGGAGAAAATAAAGGAAGAACATGATGAATATAAAATTTGACAAAAGGCTTGAACACAAAGAATGTATCGTTGTCCTCAAACGATATTTGCCTCTTCGGCAACGCTTTTAAGGATTTAATTGAAAAATAGTTTGTAGAATTAAACAAGCCATTAATGAAGATCATCAAAAGCAAAGTAAATTTTCAAATGAACAAGTGAAAAAGAGAAATTTGATTATGTAGAGGAATAGAAATTTCTTTGAAAAGTTGGATGAATAATATAATAAAATTTTTTTATTCATTCATATTTTAATTCATCATTCATCCACTTATATGATTTTGAACAATAAATTTACAACAAACATGTATAATGTGGGCTTATAATCAAATTGTTAGACATGGGAGCTACTTAGGCTAAATGCCAAAATAGATTCTCTAGGGACATAACCAAACAGAAATAAAGACAAGGGTAACATTGTCTTGTACAAAAAATTTATCATTCGTTGACCCTTCTTATAAATTCCCATGGCGGCCCCAACGCCGGTGGGCTTGCCAATCTCTCTCTCTCTCTATAAAAACTCTGTCTCTCTCTGTTACAGAATTTGTTATTGGCATTAAAAAAGAGCAGATACAGAATTTAACATAACAGAAAGAAGATAAAAGGCAGGCAGCCATGGAAGAAGAGCTTTTTTTCTACTGGTTAAAGCCATGTGTATTCTCCATAATAACATTTCTGTTTGTTCTAAAGGTTTTCGTGTTGATTTGGTGGAGACCCAGAAAAATTGAAGAGCATTTCTCTTTACAAGGGATTAGAGGTCCCCCTTATCGCCTTTTTGTTGGAAATGCTAAAGAACTTGTTAGTTTAATGTTGAAAGCTTCTTCTCAACCCATGGATTTTTCTCATAATATACTTCCTAGAGTTCTTTCCTTCTATCACCACTGGAAGAAAATCTATGGTATATTCTCTTTTCCCTCTTAATCTAATCATACGACTGATCAATTCTGTATCATCCCTGTCCCGGACATGGGATTGAACAACGTTAGACATTGTCAAAAAAGAAAAAGAACACGATCGTCTGGTCCCGTTTTCTGGTTTCTTTGAAGGAAATGGAGTTTTCATTAACTTCTGTATTTTATTTTGTTCTTCTTGTATCAGATTTTTGTGTGTTAGCCAGAATTTAGGTAATGAGTGTTTGCTAGTGTGGGCAAGTTCGGAATTGTTTTCTTCCTATCCTCTCTCTACTGTAGGGTCTACACTATCCAGTGTTCTTCTGCTGAATTTTAGTGGTCGTCTTTATTTCTTTTCATGTGAAAAATCCTTTTACTGAAGCACATTGAACTTTTTCTTGAATTCAGGGGCGACGTTTCTCGTATGGTTCGGGCCAACCGTTCGACTCACCGTGGCTGATCCCGACTTGATTCGAGAAATTTTCACTTATAAGTCGGAATTCTACGAGAAGAACGAGGCTAGTGCATTGACTAAACAGCTCGAAGGCGATGGACTCCTCAGCCTCAAAGGAGAGAAATGGGCTCACCATAGGAAAATCATCACCCCTACCTTCCACATGGAAAATCTTAAAGTAAGTCTTAATCCACTCGACTCGAGTAGACATGACTCGATTAAACTTTTGATAATATATATACTTTACCTTTTCAGTTGTTAATACCAATGGCATCAAGGAGTGTGACTGAAATGTTAGACAAATGGCTCAATATGTCGAAAAATTCCGGTGAAGTTGAAATTGAAGTATCGGAGTGGTTTCAGATATTAACCGAAGATATCGTCGCTCGAACTGCGTTTGGAAGTAGCTACGAAGAAGGAAAAGCCATTTTCAGATTACAAGCCCAACAAATGGCCCTTGCATCTGATGCATTTCAGAAAGTTTTCATCCCGGGTTATAGGTACATATCATCCATCAGTACTCGAATAGTTGTGAAGAGTATAACGAATAAGATTTTCTAACTTATTTTTCCGTATTTTCTTTAGTTTCCTGCTATTTGAATTGTTTTGAAGAGTTACGATACATAAGATTTTAACTTATTCTTCCGATTTTCTTCAGGTTCTTACCCTCGAGACGGAATATAAAGTCTTGGAAATTGGAAAAGGAAGTTAATAAATCCCTAATGAGAGTGATTGGTCAAAGGACAAAGAATTGGGGGCATGAAATTGTAGAAAGTGGGCCCAAAGATTTGTTGGGAGTTATGATTCAAGCAAGTTTGAAGAGTGAAGAGTTGAATTTGAATTCAAGAATTACTGTCAACGACATTGCTGAAGAATGCAAGACCTTTTTCTTTGCTGGTGAACAGACAACATCAAATTTGCTGACGTGGACGACTGTTTTGCTAGCTATGCACCCGGAATGGCAGGCCCTAGCACGTGACGAGGTTCTCAAGGTGTGCGGATCACGTGACTTACCCACTAAAGATGATGTTGTCAAGCTCAAAACGGTAAGCCTCAATCGCATTCATCACTTCTTTTTCATGATTGGACGGACGATAAAATCTGATATGTCGTATTGTCTAATTTTGTGAAATTTGGGGCAGTTGGGGATGATCTTGAACGAGTCGCTTAGACTCTATCCACCGATTGTGGCAACGATCAGACGAGCAACGACGGACGTGGAGCTTGGAGGTTGTAATATTCCACGTGGAACGGAGTTACTAATACCGATTCTTGCGGTTCACCATGATCAAGCTATATGGGGTAATGACGTAAATGAGTTCAAACCGGATAGATTTTCTGAAGGAGTGGCTCGAGCAGCGAAGCATCCAATGGCCTACATTCCCTTTGGACTTGGAGTCCGACAATGCATTGGCCAAAACTTAGCGATTTTGCAAACCAAATTGACGCTTTCTATCATACTTCAACGATTTACTTTCTATTTGTCATCGCGCTATCAACATGCCCCAACGGTTTTGATGCTTCTCTACCCACAGTACGGGGCACCAATCATATTTCAGCCTTTGTCTTGCCCCTAAGATTGATAGTTAGGATCAACCCTCAAGGATCCTAGCTCTTTGTGAGTTTGTCTATACATATATCTATATATATCTATTTCATATTAAATCGGACATCGAATACTTAACTATTTTGATTTTGACACGTAAAATTTATTCTCGAATATTTTTAGACGTGTCAAAAAAGTATTCAAAACCCGATATAATGTTCTCATTTATTTTAATTTATTTTTTCACATTCTTTCTAGCACTATTCCTTCACCTGATAATAGTACCTTTGCTGACCCCTCTCTTCTCCAAGTTGTTATGTCTCCATCTTTATCCAAATTTAGATTTTGGCTCTACATGGGCTAGTCTCAGGGGATTTGCTAGTAGCTAGTTGTGTATATTTTAATTTTAAAATATATTAATTAATGTATATTTTTCCTCAATGATTGATAGAAAGTTGATTTGTTTGTTAATATGAATTTGGGTCCCACGCAGTGACCGGATAGTAATCAGTATTTTAAAAAGCTCGTCTAGATGGAGCCGCCTAAGCATGAAGCTTAGACAAAACGCTTCGCTTTGAGTGTAGACGCGTTTTTTAAGTATAATATGATCCAATTTAGTTCAATAATTCGCCAATCGATCACAATATGGTACGATTCATTATCAATAGAAAATACGTGTTAAGAAATATGAAGATAATAAAGAAATAAATTGTCTGCCAAGAGGTCATTGGCTCCCAAAAAAATTTGTTGAAAATATGAAACTCAGACCAAGAATTTGTTCTAACTGAGGTGGTTGAGGGTTGGGGATTGGGGTGTTTCTTTTATCTTTCAGGTGTAAATTGATAAGTGAATGTTTTATGGTTCGACTATTAAACTTATGCCACTTTCTTTTAGGCAAATTCTAAGTCTTTGGTGGCGTGTAAGACAATTTTAGTAACAAATTGATACACACAACGAGATGGAAATCGTGATGTCGATGTTGGATATATCAAGAAAATTGTAGCTTGTCCGAAAACATAGATAGCTGATTTTGACTAGAGAAATATACGTACAAAAAAATATTTGTCATAACGAATATTACTACTATTACGAGACTGAATCTAAAAGTATGTACTAAATACTTGTAAATTGTCTAAAAATAGACTCGTCTTAATTTCAATAGAGAAATCCCCTCATTACGAAACTTATTTAGAGAAAATTAGTCAAAAAAAAAGCCCTTTATTTATGCACCCTAAAATATTACATAGATAAAGTAGAATTAAATTAACATTTATATACAAAAATAATAATAAAAATAAAAATACCCCCTCCCTATTCTTGGAAGTTGGAAAAACGCTTTATCAAGATTCAAGAAGATGATTAGACTCCCTAGTGGCGTGTTTCAAGGTCATAAAAAGCTAACACGATTTTACAATGCCCGAGACATGATATGTTCTTTCGAAGCAAAGCCAACCGTTACACAGCAAATTTACTGTTTTTTTAATATATATAAATAATCTACTTTTTTACGCTTTTGATTATAATCTATTAAAAAGAAGAAAAATGTTATTCATTCTCAGTGGGGATATATCCTCAGTCTATGTGGATGTAAGTGATTGATTAAATGATAAGTGAAATTAAATGACTTATTTAATTTCACTTATCATTTAACGCCACATTAACGCTACATAGATTGGGAATACATTACTAGTGAGGATGAATAGCATTTCTCTAAAAAGAAACAAACTTGCAGTTTGTATCACTTTTTGGGATCTTCTCATGCTCTTGGGGTTGGGGGTTTAGGGTACCAATGAAGCACGTGGCTTCCTAGATCAAGCTTTTTTTTTTTTTTGGATTTAATATAAGTAATTTTGTTTTTATTTGTCTTGTTAAACTATTGATGTTTGGGACTCAATTTGAGTCTTGTTTGTTTCAAATTTATTTTTATTTTGATTATTAAAGAAAATAAATTAACTACCTATAGTATGTTAACAAGATATGACGAGACAAATTAAGAGAGAAATCAGCATCAATTAAATTATTCGTCTATTTTAACGGGTCAAACATTATACTCACATTTGTAAAATCTTGCTTGTAACCATAGCATATAACCATGACTTATCACGATCATTCAAAATAAACAAAATCTATGACAACGCTAGAGTAGCACAACAAATGTCGTCCAAAGCTAAAATTAGAAGTGTTATATAAAATGAGTACACTAATTTTGTGAAATATTTGTTGCGCGTATTTCTTATTTAGCCGTCACTTATCAGAATATAGAAAGTCATAAAGTTACGTCTCACAATTTAGCAACTGATTGAGTTATATTAAAATTTTCATTTTCATTTTTCTACTCATTTTCAACCACACATTCTTCAATAAAATAATGTTTTTCATCTCATCAATAATTTTTCCTTCTTTTTCAATCACACATTCTCCATCAATCAACTATTCCAAAATACATTTTTCCGAAATAGTGTGGCTCAAAACACACCCGAATAGCAAGACTTATACTTCAAAGTGAAGAAATTAATAGAGTACAAAATTCTCTTCAAGCTTTATCTTATTTTGATTGTTGAGAGGGGGAACACAATTCTTTCGAAGGTTAACATATACTGTGTTAGATGTTATGAAAGTAGTAACTTACTAAAACTGGTTGAGAATCTCGTAATAAAGAGAGATGTCTCAATACATTCTATAAATGTGGTCGAAAATCGATCTCATTCATTGATAGCACTTTCATTTTTATATAATATCTATACTGTATATCAAAGACGACTTTAGTTTCCGAACATCGCCTTGGTGTTATTTCGCATTTGTGAAAGGAATCAATCAAGGGAAGGCATGGAAGGAGGCATGTGATCCCATCCATAATCACATAACAAGCTATTTGCCGTTGACATGCTTCGTAAGCGCAGACACATTTGTGCCACATTAATTACAATATTAACAACATATTTATTCTTCCTCGTGACAATGTTTTATTTTCAACTCTCTGTGTTACGATAATTCCAGCTACTTCATTAAATTTTGACACAATTATTATCATTAATTAATTATTTATTTTACGTCTAATCCGCTCAAAAGTCTATTTTTAATTATAATTAAAAACTGTACTTTGCCTACCAAATTAATATCAATTTTTTGCCAGTTCTAACTCCATTCATCCATCGTTTGCTACGTCATGAGAATGTGACTTGCTACTTCTCTGCTAGACCAATATATAAAGATAATGCAAAGTCAATAGCAACTTATAATTTAATAAAGAAAATAATTGATTAGTTTAGTACAAGATAATTTATTTATGATAGAAGTATTTTCTAAGGTCGTTTAACCGTCACTATTGTTGGAAATATTCGTCGCATGAAAGTATATGTATATTGGATGTCACACGTTACCTCATCATGCTGATTTTTTTACACAATTATTAAGCCGTCTCAGGCTTGCCCTAATTTTTTAAGTACAAATATGCAATAAATATATAATTTATTTTTATTATTTTTATAAATAATCATCGCAATGGAAATATATGTATATTGGAGATCACACCTATTGTGACTCGAACCTTTGACTTCAATGTGCTACCAACAATTAAGTTAAAGTCGTGCTTCTAAAATAACACTTTCTTAATTGTATGTTAATTGCTGGATTGCTGACACTTGACAACTTGGTAACCGTTGATTAAAGTTCTAGAGGCTTCTGATTTTTATCCTTCACTTGGTGCACTGTTTGGCTCATTCGGTTGAGTGGGTTTTCGTCTGTTCCTCTGCTTTCTAGAGATAAAATCTCATTCTACGATTAGGGTTTCACATTCTTGAGTGATTAGAGTGTGTAAATGTTAGAATCTCTTAGATGAACTTCTAATTGTGAGAAGTGATACATGTCCGAGTGATTTGTGTAATGAATCTATGTGATTCGTGTAATTTGTGAAGTTTGGAGATAGAACTGAGTGATATGTCTTGTTCTTGGTCAGAGGGCGTGTTCGATTCAAAGTCACTTGTAAAGATAAGTCTACGTGGCTTCATCTTGTATTCTTGAACTCATTGTAATCTTTGGATGCCATATTTTTGGCTATTAGTGCGATCGAGCAGATATCCATTATTTGGATGCTCTGAGGATGTAGGCATTGGATCCAGTCGCCAAACCTCCGGGGTTAAAGCGGAAATAATTTTTTGTGTTCAATCTTTAATTTTCTACAAGTTTACTTTCTAATCTATTGATGTTTGGTGAAATCTTGTTTTAATATCATGTGATGTGGGCCTTTTCAGTTGTATCGGAGCCTGGATCTTCGCAGAAAGAGTTCGATCTGTTACAGATAAAAAAATTTGGAACTGCTGTTAAGCAAGTATTTAAGATATCGAGTTTTTGTAAACTCGTTGGGTGAGATCTTTATTTTTGTAAGTTTCTTTTTCAAAAATTAGGGTTTCGCAATTTTTCCATTGATCTACCATACACCAAAAACCCCTTGGAGACTAATCTTTGTCCAAAGATTCATAGGAGATCTTGGGAATCTGAGATAAATCCAATACGCGTGTGTATCTGGAGGATCCTGCTGGAGAAGTCCACGAAACATAGACTTTCTAATCTCTGTTATTGTGTTCTTTATATGTGTTTGCATTGCATGTTCATTGATTGTGATTGAAATTTGAAAATATTGTATTATTAAGTATACTACTGTGATTTTTAATTGCAGTAATTTTTTGTGAGTCCCTGACTGTGCCTTGCCAATATCTTGAACCCTTATTTGTGTATCATCCTTTAATACAAATATGGCTTCTGCTAAGTTTGANTAATTGTTATTTGCTGAAACAATTCTTTTCTTTTAAAATGGACTCTTCTGTTGATTTGAATGAAAACATGAATATGTTTACCAAGTTGACACAAGACTTAGCCAACTGATATGAAAAACTTTCAAAAGATCAGTTGGTTGTAGTCATATTAAACTCTATTAGTGACAAATACTGAGACATTAAGATTGCTCTAGAATATGGTAGAGTTCAGATTACTACTGATGAAATCATTAGTGATTTAAGAAATAAAGCTCTTGAAATTAAATCTGAAACTAAAGATAGTGATAATGGAGAAAACCCGCTTGCTAAGGTAAAGCGGTTTAGTAAACATAATTCTCACTCAAAGGTTTTAAATGAAAATAGAAATAAGTGAAGTGATAAAAATAAATCCAAAAACAATGCAGCAGGTAAGAAATGCTATCATTGTAGTACATTGGTCATTTTATTAAAGATTGTTATAAGAAGAAGAATGAAGCAAAATATAAAAAACTTCATGATGGGAATGTGCCTTAGTTTGTAATAAAGATATACTTGAAGATGGGTTAGTCGTTGTTAATATTGAAAAGAAGTTATGTGAAGAATGGATACTTGATTCTGGCTGTTCTTTTTATATATGC